GAGAAGACAAAAACTCTCCTGTCAATACTTGCAACTCGAAATAATTGTCTCTACAAAATAAACTAATGTGCTGTTTCCACAGGTGGATGCACAATGTAGATAAACAATCTGAATGTGAACATGCCCCCCACCCTTGTGCTTTATTAAAGCAGCACCAGTGAAAGGAACAACATCTCTGTCGGCAGTATCAAAGCCTGTCGCAGCAGATCCCACAGGACCCGGGCTCGCCAGCTTGAAGCTCCACCGGTACAGGAGGCGAAGCTCTCATCAGCCGCTCATATCACTGAACTGACGTAGCTGCTGCTAGCGACAACACTGTCTGCACCTCCCTCTCTCCCTCTCTCTCTCCCCGGAGTCATACTGCAGTTGTTGAAAGGCCAGGCGACTTCACACCCTATCTGAAGCTTCTGCTGTGTGACACGTGCAAAGGATGCTGGGATTAAGACAGAGCGCGGCTGCCTGTGCTTTGTCTTTTGTCTGTCAGGAGAACGCGGTGACTTAATTACAGAGAGTGATGAACCGAGGCAGCTGAAGTTAGTTGTTTCACAGCTGAAGCATGTAATGAGAATTTCACGTCAAAAGATGGAGTGAAGTCCAAATGAACAGATGGTCTGCTTTGCAATATTCCTCTTTATTACTCAGGTTAAAATAAACACCAGCAGAAAAAGGATTAGATTTTGCTCACTGATCATTAGGGTGTGTGTAGGAATAACCAAGAGAAATCAATATGGTTGTTACACCAAGAGCGTGCAAACTAATTCTTTAACCCGCCACCCATTGTGTTTGCACGTGATTTATTGTGTTTTTTTGGGGAGTGTGCGCACGTCCCAGCTGGAGTGAAGACTGTTTATATTATTGTTGATGAAAGAGGGGCCCCCAGGGGCCTCGGTAATGGGCTGGGAGGCCTCTGACTTCTTATAATGGCCTTTGTGCACGTGTGTGTATGGGAGTGTGAGAGGGAGCCAGAGAGAGACACAATTGCAGGACTATATAATTGTAAAAGGAAGGACACAATTTAACATAATAAAATGAATCAGATACACAACAGACAGAAAGGGACATAGAGGCATAGACACAAAGAGACACCGTGTCACACACACACACACACACACACACACACACACACACACACACACACACACACACACGTATTCATTATTTTTCTTTAACTCTCACTTCCAATAAGCACCATTATAGGGAAATGGAACGTTGAATAGGTGTACTTAACACAAAGTCAGTTTATGTGTGGGATACCCAGTGTGTGACTGTATGTGTGTTAACCTGCTATGTGGCTGTGAAAGGCTGTAGTATTGCCATATGGTCACACATTAGGGCTCTCAAACTCAGCCATCCAGAAGTGTGTGTGTGTGTGTGTGTGTGTGTGTGTGTGTGTGTGTGTGTGTGTGTGTGTGTGTGTGTGTGTGTGTGTGTGTGTGTGTGTGTGTGTGTGTGTGTGTGTGTGTGTGTGTGTGTGTGTGTGTGTGTGTGTGTGTGTGTGTGTGTGTGTGTGTGTGTGTGTGTGTGTGTGTGTGTGTGTGTGTGTGTGTGTGTGTGTGTGTGTGTGGCCAGTGAGAATAACAGGATATAAACAACTTTGCTGATATGTACGCTGTTGCGATTTAACACTTTAAGTTGACGGGGTAAATATCAGTTTTTCGGGCTGAATGAAGCTACCAATGGTATTTATTTTTTATTTTCAACGCCCAGCCTCCTCTGTCCTCTGCTTCATCTTCCTGCTCATGTATTCTCCCTCTCCGTCCCCCTGTGTGTGTGTGTTAATATATTTAGCAGTGCCGTATCATATGCTGTGCTGACTTCATTAACTATCTCAGCATGAGGCTTCAGTGGCTGAATGATAATAAACCTGGAAACATACACACAAAAACACACACGGTCCTGGGAGCTTTTCTTTTTCTGGATAATATATTTTTTTTTAAAAAGGTGTCAGCCCAGGTCGAGAAGTCAAGGAACTTCCCCTTGACTAAAGTAGAAAAACAAACAAGAACAATATAAAAACAATACAACAAGAAACACACAAACCAACCCATCAGTAGAAAACAATACAATTAAAATAAAGAAATACATCAAAAACAATATGGGGCAATATGCTCAAGGTGTGAGGCGCCGGGCGGGTGTGGGGATACTCACAAGTCCCCGGTTGGGTGCTTTGTTGTTGGAGTTTACCCCAGTGGACGAGAGGGTCGCCTCCCTACGCCTGCGGGTTATGGGGGGGAAAACTCTGACTGTTGTGTGTGCTTATGCACCCAACAGCAGTTCAGAGTATACGGCCTTCTTGGAGACCCTGGAAAGAGTCCTGTATGGGGCTCCTGAAGGGGACTCTTTAATCTTGCTGGGAGACTTCAACGCACATGTGGGCAATGATGGAGACACTTGGAGGGGCGTGATTGGGAGGAACGGCCCCCCTGATCTGAACCGGAGTGGTGGTTTGTTACTGGACTTCTGTGCTAGTCATGGATTGGCCATAACAAACACCATGTTCGAACATAAGGATGCTCATCAGTGTACGTGGTACCAGAGCACCCTAGGCAGAAGGTCCATGATCGATTTCGTTATCGTATCATCGGACCTGAGGCCGTATGTTGTGGACACTCGGGTAAAGAGAGGGGCGGAGTTGTCAACTGATCACCATCTGGTGGAGAGTTGGGTCGAGTGGCGGGGAAGCCTCTGGATAGACCTGGTAAGCCCAAACGTGTAGTTCGGGTGAACTGGGAACGTCTGGAGGAGGCCCAAGTTCAGGAGGCCTTCAACTCACACCTCCGGCGGAGCTTTTCGGGCATTCCTGTGGAGGTTGGGGACATTGAACCAGAGTGGTCGGTGTTCAAAGCCTCTATTGCCGAAGCCGCGGCGGGGAGCTGTGGTCTTAAGGTCCTAGGTGCCTCAAGGGGCGGTAACCCTCGAACCTCCTGGTGGACACCGGTGGTCAGCGAGGCAGTTGCAAGGTACCGACAGCCTGAAGGGCAGCAGCCTCATCCGTGGCCGAGGCAAAGCAGCGGGTGTGGGAGAAGTTCGGAGAAGACATGGAAAAGGACTTTCGGGCGGCACCAAAGTTGTTCTGGAAAATTCTGGACACCTCAGGAGGGGGAAGCAGGGAACCATCCAAGCTGTGTACAGTAAGGATGGGACGTTGTTGACCTCAACTGATGGAGTGTTAGGGCGTTGGAAGGAACACTTTGAGGAACTCCTGAACCCGACAACTCCGCCCTCTATGTTAGAGGCAGAGCTGGAGTATGACGGGGATCAACACCAATCTCCCGGGGGGAGGTCACTGAGGTCGTCAAACAACTCCACAGTGGCAAAGCCCCGAGGGTGGATGAGATCCGCCCAGTAATGCTGAAGGCTCTGGGTGTTGAGGGACTGTCATGGTTGACACGTCTCATCAACGTTGCGTGGAAGTCGGAAACAGTACCGAAGGAGTGGCAGACCGGGGTGGTGGTTCCCCTTTTTAAAAAGGGGGATCAGAGGGTGTATGCCAATTACAGAGGCATCACACTACTCAGCCTCCCCGGGAAAGTTTACTCTAAGGTACTCGAAAGGAGGGTCATGCCGATTGTCGAACCTCAGATTGAGGAGGAACAATGCGGATTCCGTCCTGGTCGTGGAACGACGGATCAGCTTTTTACTCTCCCAAGGATCCTGGAGGGGGCCTGGGAGTACGCTTATCTGGTCTACATGTGTTTTGTAGACTTGGAGAAGGCGTATGACCGAGTTCCCAGGGAGTTACTGTGGGAGGTTCTGCGGGAGTATGGGGTGAGGGGGTCTCTACTCAGGGCCATCCAATCTCTGTACTCCCAAAGCGAGAGCTGTGTCCGGGTCCTCGGCAGTAAGTCGGACCCATCTCCGGTGAGGGTTGGCCTCCGCCAGGGCTGCACTTTGTCACCAATCCTGTTTGTAATATACATGGATCGGATTTCGAGGTGTAGTCGTGGAGGAGGGGGTCTGCAGTTCGGTGGACTAAGGATTGCACCACTGCTTTTTGCAGATTATGTGGTTCTAATGGCTTCATCGGTCTGCGACCTTCAGCACTCACTGGATCGGTTCGCAACCGAGTGTGAAGCGGCTGGGATGAGGATCAGCACCTCCAAATCTCAGGCCATGGTTCTCAGCTGGAAACCGATGGACTGTCCACTCCAAGTAGGGAATGAGTCCTTACCCCAAGTGAAGGAGTTCAAGTATCTCGGGGTCTTGTTCTCGAGTGAGGGAACAATGGAGCGTGCGATGGGCCGGAGAATCGGAGCAGCGGGAGCGGTACTGCAGTCGCTTTACCGCACCGTTGTGACGAAAAGGGAGCTGAGCCAGAAGGCAAAGCTCTCTGTCTACCGGGCCATTTTCGTTCCTACCCTCACCTATGGTCATGAAGGATGGGTCATGACCGAAAGAACGTGATCGCGGATACAAGCGGCCGAGATGGGTTTTCTCCGCAGGGTGGCTGGCGTCTCCCTTAGGGATAAGGTGAGAAGTTTGGTCATCCGGGAGGGACTCAGAGTTGAACCGCTCCTCCTTCGCGTCGAAAGGAGCCAGTTGAGGTGGTTCGGGCACCTAGTTAGGATGCCACCTGGGCGCCTCCCTAGGGAGGTGTTCCAGGCACGTCCAGCTGGGAAGAGACCAAGGGGTAGACCTAGGACCAGGTGGAGGGATTTTATCTCTTCGCTGGCCTGGGAGCGCCTTGGGATCCCCCAGTCAGAGCTGGTTGATGTGGCCAGGGAAAAGAAAGTTTGGGGCTCTGCTGGAACTGCTACCCCCGCGACCCGACCACGGATAAGCGGGAGAAGATGGATGGATGGACAATATGGGGCTTAAATGAACAAGTCATATATATATATATAATATATATATATTAAAACAAGATGCATGTCAAGATAATAAGACATCAATAAAACCATATTTTGATTGTTAAAATTGTTTAAGCTTTTGCCGTTGCAAGGCTCAACTGTTGATCATTTGTTTTGTTTCTAACCACTAACTTCCTCTTCCTCTCTCAGGTGAGTGTGTTGGAGCGTCAGGTGATCGACTTCCTGGGCTACCAGTGGGCTCCCATCCTGACCAACTTCCTCCACATCATCATCGTCATCCTGGGTCTGTTTGGCACAATCCAGTTCAGGCCGAGATATGTCACCGGGGTGAGTTTTACACACTCACACACACACACACACACATTTGAAACAGCCATTACACATACATATAATTTGCCCTAGATTTAGCGACAGCCTCTCATTAGCCGCTCAGCTCTCTACATCGAGTAATGAGGACTGAATATGGAGTGACAGTTTCAAGGGTTTATTTTCTGTCTCACTGGAAATCATTTGTATGCCTCATAGCACTGCCATGCAGGGATGTAGTATCATAGTCATGACTTTAAATACACTGTGTGTACAGAACAATGCTTTAATGACATTTGATTTTGAAACATCTGATTCAACATCATACATATAACTAGAGAATGCGAATAAAATAGCAAGGCAAAGCCTTTATTTACAATTTAAATGAATTAATGGTTAATATATAAATTCTTACAGGTGGATCCAAGATTGGACCCATTTCTCTCTAAAGAAAAATAAAGATAAAATAAATAGATTAAAGGGGCCCTATTATGCTAATGTTCAGGTTCATATTTATATTTTGTTCCTCTACCCCGTGACATGTTTCATGCTTAATTTTCAAAAAGTTTAAAACAGCTTACGGTGACCATGTACAATGTGTTGGAGCACTAGCCAATAGCAGTGCAAGTGTTACATATGTCACTAAGTTATGGAAGTATTTATTTTTTACAAAAGTACTGTAGTGTTTTACTTGACATTTTGGCCAAGAACGGGACTGTTAAAATATCAGGTTTTGCATACACGATTATCATGGGCATAACAACTCAGAATAGCACAATATTAACAAAATGTCTATAAAAAATCTGTCAAATTCATCCTTTGTGAGTGAATTGAGTGTAGGTTTCTTTCTGGGGCGCAAAAGGCATATTTAATGTTATAATTCAAGAGCCACGGGATAATTTACCTCTATTTTTTTGATGGCTCTCACCAATATAGGTATATGGAGACACTCCTAGCTAGGACTGCATTTATTTATGGTAAAGAGTTTTTTCAAACAAGTCCCATACAAATTCACTAGCTCTATGTTAAAAGTATAATACTTTGATCATTGACAGTAAATACTTTTGACATTAATATAGATGGTTTATATTTGATAGAAAGGGGGAGGCTATTAACCTGACCTCCTGCGTTTTAATTGAATAGCCATGAATCATATAGTAAATAAAAGGTTATAAACAGTGATGTGGAGTAGGAGTTGGAATACAGAAGTTCCCACATCGGCTGCACACAGCTCTCCCACACATCACATAAACCCTAACCGATACAGCTCACACACACACACACACACACACACACACACCACACACACACACACACACACACACACACACACACACACACACACACACACACACACACACACACACACACACACCACACACACACACACACACACACCACTTACACACATACAATGAATTAAGTTATAAAATTGAGATAATGAAAGGGAATGATCCAAGTTTAAGAATTCTGCCTTTCTTTCATCATTAATTCATTCTTTCCCACTCATAGCTCCTTGTCACACACACACACACACACACACACACACACACACACACACACACACACACACACACACACACACACACACACACACACACACACACACACACACCACTTACACACATACAATGAATTAAGTTATAAAATTGAGATAATGAAAGGGAATGATCCAAGTTTAAGAATTCTACCGTTCTTTCATCATTAATTCATTCTTTCCCACTCATAGCTCCTTGTCACACACACACACATACACACACACACACACACACACACACACACACACACACATCTATTTTCTCTCTGTCAGGTTTGATTCAGGTGATTGGTTGCACTCTTTGCTGTTGTTTTTGTTCCTACCATAGACTGGTTCCTTCCTACGCATCTGAACAACATCAAAAGTGAAGCCTCTGTCTGTTCTCTCCATCTCCAGCTCGCTCCAAATGCGAGACATGAACATGCTTTTCTAATTCTCCAACAAAGGCCTGTCAGATCTCGTCTGCCTCTCACTCACTTTCTCTTCCCTCTCCCTGTTTTCTGTGCAGTATGCCGCCTGGCTGGTGGTGTGGATGACCTGGAATGTTTTCATCATCTGTTTCTACCTGGAGGTTGGAGATCTGTCCAGAGTAAGAACTTTTTCTTGGATTATTTTATCTGCATGCTTGTCAATTATTCTACTGTAACAGCAAAGATATAACAAAGACAGGCAGTATTACACCTTCATTTTAAGTGTCTTGTATTTAAAACAGAAGCAATAATAAGACTGGCAGTATTCTATATACATTTCTTATATATCATGTTTTTGTTTTTTTTAAAGGTCCCATGTCATGGCCATTTCTACTGATCATAATTCCATTGTTGAGGTCTACTAGAATAGATTTATATTGTGCAATTTTCCAAACTCACATTGGTTTCTCATACAGCATCTCTGTATAGTATGTGTATTCACTCTCTGTCCTAAACGGCTGGTTGGAGCTCCTGCCCCCCCTCCCTGTGAGCCCACTGTGCTCTGATTGGTCAGCTCGCCCACTCTGTTCTGATGAGTCTACCACTATGGTCTATCACCGTTACAGCGGGACATCAGTGATTATGTGTTACAATGGCGTTAGCAACCAGAAAATGACACCAGTAAGGACAAACAGATGAGAATGCTGCGTGGGGTCTGGGTGCCGTGTTGGCGGGACGTTGCGCGGCTCGCTGCTGCGAGGAGCGGACAGTGTGAGCTGGGTTCATTTCCTGCTTGCTGCAGCACCCCCCCCCCCCCCCCCTCACACACACCCCCAAACGCGGCGCACCTACAGTGTAAGCGCGTCACAGTTTCGCCGCTGAGAGTGTGTGTCAGAGTTCCCTTTAGAATATTTCTTCGCCTGTCAACATGTCCGTTAAAGTTTAAATCTTCCGGACAAAATTTGAAAAGTGCCGGTCAAAGGTCTTCTTTGTTATTTATTGAGCTTTAAAACAAATTGATATGATTCGATATTAAACAAACTAATTATAGTAGATTTACTATTCAAAAGTGTTCAGTAATTTACAATAACACGGGAATAATAAACGGAGCGCTCTCTCCCTCTCCTGACAGCCCTTCAGTATCATGCAGCTCGCGGATCAGTAATGAGTGACCCGACAGTAAAACTAAACATATCTATAGCTAGTTACGGTAGTTTGAGAGGTAATTAAAATAGCTATGTGTGATATTCTAACCTGAAGTGTGTGTTTTGTTCCACTCACCGCTGCATGTGATCATGCAGAGCTGTGTGTCGACTCGTCAGCAGCAGCTGATCTCTCTCTCCCGTCAGATTAGACTTTACTCGCGTTTATGTCCATATCGATCAGATCCAGCTATTTCTAGCTAATGATATGACTACCTGCTTATTAAAACACACCTAAACAATAAGCGTCGCTATGCAACCGGGTGAGACCGCAAAGTATAGTGCAGCATTATGCATTTGTTTACATGCCCACCGGAACCCCGAGGCATTACCAATAGATCAACGCACAATCAACCCATCCAGGACATCTCTTTCTCCACATTAAGTGTTGGACATTAGAATGGACTATTCTTGTCTGTCACATACTCTCTTGTCCGTCACATAAGTGGCGCAAGTTGCGCAACTGATGCGGTATTGCGCTAAGCGGAAATGATTTTGACCGGACACTTTGACCGGAGAGATTTTGATTTGCCGGTCTTCAGCATATTTACCGGTCATAGTCCGGTAATTACCAGCTAACGGGAACTCTGCTGTGTGTGTGTGTGTGTGAGGAGCTCCACGGATTGGTCCTAAACCCAATGGGTCCATTTGGGTTTGAGCACGTCACTGTACCCAGGAAGAAAACAATGGAAAAAGAAAATCTCCAGCAAGGCGTTCTGGGGCAGCACAGACAGGTCTTTTCTGTGTTAGAGTTTTACTCGCCACAGGGTGTACTTTGAGGGTTTGTGACTCTGCAGACCGTTTACATGCATAAAAATCTTCATAACACACAAGGGGACGGGTAGTAACCGGAAAAGCATGACATGGGACCTTTAAACTTATCTCATAAAATACCAATATCAGTAATGAATATATTTGACTCACAAGGGTTGCCTGTGTTGCCAAAGTCATTCACATGCACAAAAGAGCACAATATTATTCCAAAAACAAACAAAAAAACATGAATAATCTACAACTGTGCACTGGGTGACATGATCTTGTATCACTATGAACACAGTCACTGTTATTTATTTTGTATTACTTCCTAACACACCGTCCTGCTGTCATTCACACTAACTATTGTGCCGAATGTGTAAAAATGGGTCACTATTGACTTCTGTTTGATTAACTTTTCTTTTTTAATTGTTCTTACTATTTTTGTGACCCATGTTTCTTAAGATCCTCTTGTTCAGCTGGCACTAATAGGTTTTGGTTTGGACAAGGCAGAGAAGTTTTGAGACTAATAACTACAATTTTATTTTGTTACTAAGCCTTAAATGTGCGTCTGCCTTAGCTACATCACCATATCAATAAGACATTGCATCTGTTAAACTTGTCCCATGCATGATGCAGAAGTCAAGAAGAGCATGGGAATGCACTTGAGACTGCTTAGTAACTCGCTAGAAGCAACAAGAAGAATAGCTTTTGCTGAGAGCAAATAAACAAGCTCCAACCACTGAGTCCCCTGACAGAACCGTAAGGGATAAGAAAGTTCTGCCTTCGCTCACTGACCCGCTGTCATACACAGATCACTTCCTTTCTCCACTGTTGTGTTTCTGTGATGCTCAATACAAGCTAATCACTCTACTGTCGCCGGGGGAACGTGTGTATTCACAAACACACTTGAATGATGCCCCTTCTTTGACCGCACGCCCAGAAATGGCTGAATTGGCTTTCTACCTGTCTTCCCCTGACAGAAGGGGTCACATAATTTCACTATAATTTGAGTGTTAGTTCAGCTGCCGTGATCATAGGGGCAAGACCCTGTCAGTGAACACTTCCTGCTTACTGACAGTGCCACTTAAGGAGGGGTGGACTTGTTTACACCTTTTAAACCTCTCGCTATAATGTTTAGGCCACATTAAGGGGCTTTAATGGTTAGATTGTCACTGAGTCGTGATAATGAAAGCATGTCAGTTCTCTGCATTGCCAACTGATAAAGATACGACACACAAGCAGAGGCCATTCAAGTCTTCTCACTGTGCAGTAAAAATGTGTCGAATTTGAATACAGATTATCAACTCGCACAATTAATTAAAGCCAATCAGCGCTTCCATAAACAGAGGAAATCAGTTGATGGGACTGCTGATTACGGCTGATTAAACTCTCTGGTGAGGCGATAGAAAAAAGTAGTTTTCCCATCATAATTTGTTTAAAATTACTCAGTTTTTTTTAACAGTTATGTAACACGTCTATTATCAGTTTAGTAAATCACACCAAAGAGCAGTTTTAAAACCACACATCTGTGCGAATCCATCTTACAAGCAGTTTGTTGAACATTATTACTGTTAGAGTGCACTTGAAGGGGGCCTATTATGCAAATGTTCAGGTTTCATATTTGTTTTTTGTGCCTCTACTGTGACATGTTTACATGCTTAAAGGTGGGGTAGGTAAGTTTGAGAAACCGGCTCGAGATACACTTTTTGTTATATTCCATGGAATGCTCTTAACATCCCGATAGCAATGAATATCTGAAGTGCTTTGACACAAAATCCATAAAAAAATATCATCTGTTGATGCCGTAGTACTGTAAAAAGCACGACCAATCATTTTAGCCGGCCCGGCTAAAGTAACTGGATGGCCTACCTGCCTGTCAGCCTTCCATCTGTGCACAAACTTATCTCGTGCCCTCATTGGTCATGTGCGCGTTCGTGTGTGTTGGAGGAGGGGCTCTGTAAGGAAGTGGCAGATTTTTTCCGGCTGTGTATTTTCAAATTCTATCGCACTCGAGCTGGTTTCTCCAAAATTACATACCCCACCTTTAAATGTTCAAAAAGTGCTTTATTTTTCTCATACTGCCTGTGCTGCAGCACATAGCTCCTTTGTTATTGGTCAACCGCTTAGTGATGCCCCGCCCCTTAGCCTCATGAAGCCATCATGATCAATTTGTTGGAGCGCTAGCCAATAGAAGTGTTACATAGTAATTCAAAGTCCAATGGAGGTGTTTCAGGCAGGGGGGAGTGTGTGGGGGGATACTCTCTCTGGGGGGTAACTTTAAGATTGTAGCCTTTGCAGACCATTCACATAAACACAAATCTATAAAAACACACTACAAGAAAGAGAAAACCCCCAAAAAGCACAATTGTCTTGTATTGTTTTGCAAGTTTTCCCATTCACTCACTGTTGGATACAATTGTCATGTGTCTGTCTGCTCTTCCCACACAAGAACTTTGAACCTTGTTAACTAGTGTTGCCATCCAAGCTAGGCTATCATTTTACAGTTCTCTAACCCCCCTCCACGTTCTTGCCTGTTACCTGCAGCTTCATTGACTGATCTTCGATTTCAATGATATTTACACTGCTCACTGTCCCGAGGCCTAGTTTAACAGTAACGACCACCACACTACGGCTGGGAGGAAAGCAAGCTTTATTTGTATCAAACTGAAAGTGCAAGCATGTCTGCCATGTTCAAAACATCTTGAAAAGCTGCATAATAACAGTTCAAATGTTAATTGAATGGAATAAAATTAATTATGTTACCATATTTATCATTTACAATCTGTTATGGATTTTAATGATTCGAATATTACTCTTGATTTTATTAGAAATAAGCCCTTCAGACCAAAATCATCACATCTGCTTTCTATCGAGGGTGAAGCAGCAAGCTAATTAGGAAAACCTTTAGCAATTAGCAGCTGACCAATCAGAGAGCAGCACACTCGAACCAGGGCGCTGAACAGCTTGTTTTTACGACCAGAACAGTTTGCGTTCGCCCCGCTCAAGGGCACATCAACCTTGACCCAGTTGCAGAGTGAGAGGGGAGCCACAAATGGGCGATTCCCCCCCCCCCCCCCCCCCCCTCACCCAGATTCACCAGCTGTTGTATAAAATACGGATGACCAACCGTACCAGGGGTTTACCGACCGGAGGACTATTATTAACACCGGACCACATGTTCAACAACCACAGATATATTTGTGATTGTTGCATCTCGGCTC